GGGGGGGGGGGATTTTGACAAAATCTGGTAAAATCAAAGCAATCAATCTAGTTATAAAATGGAGAAATGTTTGAATATGGCACAGTGAAAATTGATGTTAGAATCCAATTGCTGATCTGTCTTTAAAAAAAAATGCAGCCAGATGAGTTAAAATTAATCTGTTGTCCAAATACCAACATGTCAGAGGGTTTAAAAAGAGAAAAGTAATAGTGGTCGTAAGAGCCACCCCTGTGCATCAATTATTACTTCCTTTTTAAGGTAACACTGTATTCTCCTGAATTCGAGCTTTAATAGTGCTATGTAGCAAGCTTGATTATTTTTAGAAGCTAAACTCCCTTTGACAATTTTCAGCTCTACTTTTTTTCCTTTTTGCTGCACAATCCTCCAAAAGGCCTTTATTCTCATTCTTGCATTGTGGGTAATTTAAAGAATGCCTTATAAAAGTAGGCATTTAGGCTACTAACTGATATTGCTCTATTAGAAGCAGCTATCCATTTGCTTCCACTTTGGTAGGAAGCTGTTAATAAATTTGTACTGCTTCCCTATCTCTAATGGCAGTATTGTCACAAGATGCTAATGGCAAAAATGTAGATTTAAGAAATGAAATGCATTGATAGATTTTCAAGTTAATTGAAACTCTGTAGGAACATTTCATTGTTAAAGACAGTGACAATTACTATCAACATTGGCCCATACTGTCAGGTGAAAATACAAACAGTTTTGCTGTAAACACAATGGGCTCAGTAATCATTTCCATTTTTATTTATTTCTGTGCATCTTAAGACACAAAATACAAGAACCTTAGTGCTGTTTAAACTTGTCACGTGTATGGTTTGACTTGGATTAAAACCTAGTATAAAGAGAAGTGAGCAATGATACCTACAGGTTCCTGCTGTTCATATGTTCAGATACCTTTATTTAAAATTATCGGGGCTCATAGCTTTTTTTTTAAACACTCTCTTGAAATTTACGTATGCTGTAAGTCTTATATTTTACTTTCAATGGCTTGGGATTTAGCATGGGAAACTTACTAAGCCATCACCTACCTCTGCAAGCAGGCTCTTCTTTTGAATGACTACTGTTCTCTGCATTGGCCTGCATGATATACTGACCTGCATGTCTTTGGAGAGCCTAAAGCTTCATTGATAATGTCTCTCGCATACTCACTGCTATTATCTTGTGCTTGAACAGCATAAGCTTTATTCAGTACTTGTAAGAAGCCTTCTTCCTGCAAAGCTGTTGCTTCTGGGCAGTACTCATTTAAAGTATTGTTTCATAAGCTTGGAAAGCACACGCGGGCTAAACTGGCTGCCTTTTCCTTAGGAAGTGAACAGATACCCCTCAACTGACTAACCTGCTATGGAGCTCTTGCAGCACGCTCTGTATAAAGTTGTCATTTCTTTTATTGATAAGTAAATACTGTTTTTTTTCTAATGTTGTTGTTTTATTTTCCATTTTTCAGCTGTAGAGTAGTTCCTGGAGAAGGCCTTTCCAACA